TTTTATTTTATTACAGGTACCATTTTTTTTTTTCTTTCATTGTTTCTTATGGTTTTAGTTTTAGTTTACTATAATTGTACCCTGACTGGTACAAATCCAATGTCTGCTCATAACAAAATTCTGCCTTGATAAGAAGAGCATTAAAATTCAACATTCAGTTCAAGTATTCTATTGTTGATTGTTTTCTGCTCAAAAATCTTGACATTTGAACTTTCTTCCATCTTGATGAAACCACATGACAATAAAACATGTTAAGAGCATCTGGCAGTAACAATGTTTTTCTTCACTGCATTCGGCCAAACAGTTTTCAAAAATTCATGACAGCTGTGGTGAGATGAGGACTCTGTGTAATATAACAACCTGGAAATTTTTTTTAAAAATATTTTTTTTCTTCCTTGGATTTATTAGATGCCACAGCCAGAACATTGTTTCAGCAGACTGTGAATGCTGTTTAAATTGGTTTCTAGTCTAAAAAAAACCCCCACACAAATACGCATTTGTTTTTCTTGACTTCTGTTGTTTTCATACTGAGCACCATCTTTGAGAGGAAACCAGTGGTGGTCCTGAACATTTCCAACAGCAAAAACACTTTTTAAAACTACAACTAAAGTACAACACAGCCAGTGATTAGCATGCATTTCTATTGTATGGATTAGAGCAGCTTTGACAGTTTCATAACCTATTCTGTGTTCCACAGGTAAATGTCACCTGAGTTTGAAGCGACATGAGGGTAGATAACAGAATTGACTTAAATGATGGATTTTATGTAAAATAATCTTAAAGGAATAGTTTTAAATTAGCTGAATAAAAATGAGCTGAAACAGGTCAGAACAGATTTAGAGAAATGTAGCAGTACATCACTTGCTCACCAATGGATGAGCCACAGCCATATCACCCTGCAGCCCAAGACTGGTTGCCCACTGAAGCTAAGCAGGGTTGAGCTGGTCAGTACCTGGATGGGAGACCTCCTGGGAAAACTAGGTTGCTGTTGGAAGAGGGGTTAGTGAGGCCAGCAGGGCTCACCCTGCTCACCCTGTGGTCTGTGTGGGTCCTAACGCCCCAGTATAGTGACGGGGACACTATACTGTCAAAAAGCACCGTCTTTCGGATGAGACGTTAAATCGAGGTCCTGAATCTCTGTGGTCATTAAAAATCCCATGGCACTTCTCGTAAAAGAGTAGGGGGTGTAACCACTGACCCTTGTCAATCATAGCCTCCTAATAATCCCCATCCACTTGATTGGCTCTATGACTCTCTCTCCTCTTAAGAGAAAATTCCATCAAGATGTTTTTTTGTTGTTTTTTTTTTACTTTAAACTGTTGCTTCTGGCTAAAATATGAAAGTCTTCTATCCTTAATATTGCTTTCTCCAGTGAGAAAGTTGTCTGGTCTGAATCAGGAGAGAAAGATGCACAGATCAAGCACTGTTCACAAGAGAAAACAGTCCAAAACAGTTCTAAACAGATTTGGAGGACAACAGGAGATGGACTTTTTCACTGGAGGAAGCGTCATTATGGATTATGGGCTCGGTTTAAAGTTAAAACGTCTTAATGATGGATTTATTTCTTACAAACATGTAGCCTTTCACTTCAAAATACATTAACTGATAGACTGGAATTGTGTGGATAACTTTTGGATTATTGTGATGTTTTTATCAGCTGCTTAGACTCTCATTTGACAACACCCTTTATTCTCTGAATTCCTCTTTTGTGCATCCAGGATTTGGAACAGCGAGTTAATTGGTTTTCTTGACCTTTTTTGTGGTAGATTCTATCTGAACCATTTTCTTGGAAGAATTGTGCTTGGTGTGAGACTTCAAATGCTTAACCTGCAGTCGTTCCACACACACACACACACACACACACACACACACGCATGTTGTGTTTTAATATCAAAGATCCTAATACCCTTTGCTTAAAGTTTACAAAAAGCTAAAAAGCTTCACTGTCTACTTGACAGAGTCAATATGACCTTTGCTCTTGAATGTGAGCTTTGTTGAAAGAGCGCCCCGATTCTGTGGTCATGTTGGGCTTATTAGCAGGCATGTCTGAAAGGCACCATGAAATTTATTCTGACCTTGAGTGCAGTTTTAGAAGAACAATATATA